TGTTATTGTGTTTTACACATGGAGAATCTGAGGCTCAGAGAGGTTAAGGGAAGTGCCCTGGATCACACAGCCATAGCTTCTTCCCACTACGCCAGGCTCTCTCTGGACTCCACTGAGGCTGAGGAAAAGGAGTGTGGTGGCAACTCCACTGCACTTGAATAAAACCATTACCGTGTGTCTCTTTTCTTCCCCTGCCATGGTCCCGCCCCCTGCCCTCCGCATCCCACATAGCTGGACAAGATGCTGGACCCGCAGGTGTGGCGGGAGGCAGCCACGCAGGTCTTCTTCGCCCTGGGGCTGGGCTTTGGGGGTGTCATCGCCTTCTCCAGCTACAACAAGCAGGACAACAACTGCCACTTTGATGCCGCCCTGGTGTCCTTCATCAACTTCTTCACCTCGGTGCTGGCTACCCTCGTGGTGTTTGCTGTGCTGGGCTTCAAGGCCAACATCATGAATGAGAAGTGTGTGGTCGAGTAGGTGGCCCCTCTCCTCCTGCCCTTTCTCCTCCCTGTGCACCCCCCAGGAGGGGCAGGTGGGCCATGGATGGAGAGTCCTTGTCTACCTGGGGGCTGAGGGAGGGAGCACAGAGGAGCTCTTTGTCCCCAGCCCTGGACCACAAGGACAGGTTCAGAGATGCCTCTGTCGATGGCCGGGGAGTCCTGCCTGGGTGCCCGGGAGGTGGCCCCAGGATCGTGCCTACCCTTGCTTTTTTACCTGGTCCCCTTCCCTTTGTGCTGCAGAAATGCCGAAAAAATCCTGGGGTACCTCCACACCAACGTCCTGAGCCAGGACCTCATCCCTCCCCATGTCAACTTCTCCCACCTGACCACCAAGGACTACACGGAGATGTACAAGGTCATCATGACCGTGAAGGAGGACCGTTTCTCAGCCCTGGGTCTCGATCCCTGCCTGCTGGAGGATGAGCTGGACAAGGTACGGGACAGGCTGGAAGGCAGACATGGGAGTACGGACCTAGAGACAAGCCATGGGTGGCTGGAGGCCCCAGAAAGCTGTCGGGGACTCATTCATTTATTTGATAAGCAAGGACTACTATGCATCCAGAGAGGAGAGAGGAAAGGTATCAGTCCAAAGCCCTGCCCTGAGGTGGGTTGAGTATTGGGGAGGGGAGAAGCTGACACAAAAGTCACGGAAGTCACAGGGAGCAAACGGGATGAGCTTCACGTTAATCGAATGGATTTCCTGCACATCAGTCACCGCCACGTGCCATGCACTGAGAACCGTGCCTTGTTTGTGGTACACAGAACATAGTGTTTACTTTAGCTCCTGCCCTTTGCTGTCTGTCTCCTTTGGCCTTCGTGACAGCACTGTGAGTGAGTATTAACATTGTCCCAGTTTACAGATGAGTAGCCTGTAGGTTGGCAGCTTGGTCAGGGCCTCACAGCTAGTAAGTAATGGAACCAGGGTTCAAGTCCCCATGCTCAGAGTTGTCCCTTGATGCTTCTGCCTCTCCCCTAGCTGTCCCCAATCCAACTCCCATTGTCACATTGACTGTCAGACCCTGAGTAGAACAAGGGGAGGCTGCCTCCCCCATTAATGTCCAGGCCCGAGTTGGGACCCCTTGCTTCTGTCACCATTTGCACAGCTGAGTACTTTCAAAGTGACCATTCTGTTAGAAGGAGGAACAGGAGAGCGACATGGCCACAGGGTCCTGGGATCTAGCTGGTGCCAAGGCTCACAGGAGACAGAGCCAGCTCTCATCAGCCTGGGCCAACCCTGCCCTTCTCCAGGGACCAGGGAAGGTGACACTCCTGCACTGCGTCCGAACTTCACGTTAAAAGCCCCCTGCCTTCTCCTGGCTCCATCCTACCATGGAGGGAGTTGTATCCCGTACCCTCTGACTTCTTCTCATGTGATCAAGAGCAACAGGGCCCTGTCTGGGGACCTGCCCTGGTTTCCTTCCCAGGTGACAGGCAGCATCAAAGGCCTCCCCCTTCTGTGAGACCCTGTCCCATTCTCTTGGGCGTGGCCTGGTCCTCTGAATAAAACTATGATTGTAGCAGTTTTTAAAAATATAATACAACCTCGATAATATCCAAATAACAAAAATTACACACACAGTTGGGGAGACGTTCCCTCATCGTCATTGGACATTACAGGACAACGTGGAAGTGATGTCACTGGGCAGTGAGTGGTCAGTTGCCCCATGAGCAGGCGACCAAGCATTTACAGCAGTGGTTCTATACCTGGGCTGCTCATCAGCATCACCTGGGGGCTTTACAAATCCCCAATACCCAGCTTTACCCCCAGACCAATCAAATGATCGCCCCTGGAGTGAGACCCAGGCGTGGGTGTTCTTAGTCTCCGATGTGACTCCATGGGGCAGCCATGGCTGAGACCACTACGTTAGGGTCTGGAGTCCAGAGCTGGGAGCGGTCAGGGAAGACTTTTTAGAGCAGGAGGGGCTTGAGCTGGGCGTGTTTCTAAAAGTAAGCGTCTTCATCTGAATCACGGGGGTCCTGTGCTACTCGCAGATTTCAGGCTCCACAGCGACACTCCTGGACTGGTTGGTGTTTTACTCCCTGGGGTAGGGGTGGGGGATTCTGATGCCCATTCAAGTTTGAGACTCACTGGCTGAAACCAATAGGATTTAGGTGGAGAAGTAATCCTGGTGGAAGAGAGAGTTATTCCTAAAGCTCCAAGGGCAGAGAGAAGGAAGCAGGGGACTCCCAGGGTGGACAGGGGCCCTCACCGACCCCTCGCCCTGTCCCCGCCTCTCCCCGCAGTCCGTGCAAGGCACAGGCCTGGCCTTCATCGCCTTCACTGAGGCCATGACACACTTCCCCGCCTCCCCGTTCTGGTCCGTCATGTTCTTCCTGATGCTCATCAACCTGGGCCTGGGCAGTATGATCGGGACCATGGCAGGCATCACCACGCCCATCATCGACACCTTCAAGGTGCCCAAGGAGATATTCACAGGTAACGCTTGAGATATTCATAGGTAACGCTTCCTGACGCCACCCACAGGCCTGTGGGCTGCCCTTGGGGACAACGATGTAGTTGTGGCTCTGTCTTTCGAAGGACTGGGTTCCGACTGAATCATTCCTGACCCCATACCCAGAAACTCCACTTCCCCAGCCCCACCCGGTACACAGCAGGAGCCTGGCTCTGCCACCCAGAGAAGCGCACTCATCAACAGGAGGAGAAAGCTGGCTGGGAACTGTACCAAACCTGAGCTTGAAGACCAGCCTCTTTCTTGGTTCATTTGCCTCTCCTGGGGCCTGTTGAGCTATCCTGAGCAGGCCTGGCCTCCCTCTATTCCGGTCTTGCACCCTGTTCTGTCCCCATCATTCCCAGCCCAGGGGTGCTCCGTGCCTAGTAGAGTAGGGGCTTAGAATTTTCAAATTTGGACTCCTTCCCTGTGCAGGGCTGGGCCTGCTGGAGGGTGGGCTGCAGGCTGGCTGGTGGGGAGGGAACGGATGGGAGGGGCCTGGGTGCCCCCAAGACCCCCAGGCCCCGCCCACCTGCACCTTTGCCCCCACACCGGCCTCCCGGCTCTCTGTAGTGGGCTGCTGTGTCTTTGCATTCTTCGTGGGGCTGTTGTTCGTCCAGCGCTCCGGAAACTACTTTGTCACCATGTTTGATGACTACTCGGCCACCCTGCCGCTCACTGTCATCGTCATCCTTGAGAACATCGCTGTGGCCTGGATCTATGGAACCAAGAAGTAAGGGGGCAGTGGGACAGAGGTGGGGATGGGAAGAGGGGTCTGCCCCGTCTTGACTCCTCAAAGAGTGCTATGTTCCCAGGGCTGCTTGTGAGTGGGGCAGGAGATCACAGAGTCAGAATGTCAGAACTGAAAGTACTTTCACAGACCATTTAGAGAACCTGAGACTCAGAGAGAGGACATCACTGCCCAAGACCACTTGTCTGGTGAGAGGCAGAGCCAGGCTGAGTCTCCTGACATCATCCTAAACTGACCTAAATTACCAGAGTACCTTTCCTGGGTACCAACTCCACAGAATTCTGTGAAGCTTGTTAAGCACCTAGTGGGTGTACAGGAGGCCCCTACCCTCAGAGCACTCATAGAGCTCAGCAGTTTAATGGACAGCTTTAAGGTGATTTACATATGGCCCTTGGCTTCATTCCCCATTTAAGAACCAATCTGTATCCTCAGGAAGCCCCAGGACTAGGTCCCTCTCACTCACTCAGCAGGCGAGGGCTCCACTAACCCACTCAGCCTGATCCACCCCTGACGTCCGGACCGGGTCTGAGAATCAGGGTCTTGCACAGGCCCTGGTACAGCTATCTGCTCCCTGGAAGAGTGTAGGAGGGGTGGGCATTAGGACCTGGAGCAGCCCTGAGAGACAGGGTTGAAACACACTAACCTCTCTGCTGACTGGTGAGGCCCCAATGCCTTTTTCAGAATATTATTTTTCCATGCATATGATAAAATATATAGGATTATACAGGCAACTAATTATATTGAAAATCAGCAAAATAATGTTTAAAGTCTGTGATATAGTAATATCTGTATAATTTTTTACTGTATTAAGGTATAAGAGCTAGCTGTGCATCTAATAACAATAGTGATTTCAAAGTAATGATGAGCATACATGATATTTGTAGGTATCTTCAGTATCTATCATAATGTGATAGGAAAATATCAGATTTAGTCAGTTGCTGACAGAGACATAGGTACTGTTAATACATAAGTACTATTAATGGTTGCTTGCATTTATAATAGAAAGAAGTGTACGATTTTAGTTATATGTTATTGAGGTAAAGATAATTTTCTAAAATGCCATTTATTTGCATAACTACCCCACTCCCGGAATTCCACCCACAGGACTAGTGGGAGAGTCCCCAAGTCAAGGCAGCTTTCTGCCTTTGGACACTGGAGAAGTGCAGTTCTGCCTCTTTTCCGGCAGGGGGAGTCTAGAGCCAGGCCAGTGCGAGTGAGGCTGGTCGCCCAGTGAACACAAAAGCCAGTCCGCCAGCCCAGGGCACGACTTATGGGCTGTAGCATAGCCCGGGGTGGGCTGTGACATGATGTAGTCAGGGGAGGTTAGAAGAGGACAGCAGGGCCTTCCCAGCTGGGCTACAGAATAATACACTGGGAGAACTGAATGTGAAGAATAGAAGAGCCCGGGAGGGAGGGACTGGTCCATGAAGTCATCTTGGAGGAGGTGGCCATGGGGGTATGCGCAGGCGCAATGAGGATGCCAATTTCTGGGCCTTCTGATGCGCCTGGTAGGTTCATGCAGGAGCTGACGGAGATGCTGGGCTTCCGGCCCTACCGCTTCTATTTCTACATGTGGAAGTTCGTCTCTCCACTGTTCATGGCGGTGCTCACCACGGCCAGCGTCATCCAGCTGGGGGTCACGCCCCCGGGCTACAGCGCCTGGATCAAAGAGGAGGTGAGGGGTGGCTTCCTGGAATCCCAGGGATGTGGGCACCTTCCTAGGCCTTTAATGCAACAGGTGGTAGAGACAGACCCATGGAGGGCAACTGCCATACGCCAGGTACTGCCAGGGGCATTGCCCACCTGATCTGTAACCTTTACAGCATCCCAGAGAGAAGTGGCGTTATCCCTGTCACACAAATAGGGAAACTGAGGGTCAGAAAGGCTAATATGTTTGTCCAGTCTTTCTAACCCATGTTTCCTCTCCACCTGTGGAGCGGACTCACCATCCTTTTTACAAGTGTAGAAACTGGGACACAGGGAGGCTCAGGCCCTTAACCAGGGTGACCAGCTAACTCAAGCAGCAACCCTGCTGACCACCTCTCTGCTGGTGCCAGGACGCTGGGAGGGCTGGGGAGAGAGCAGGAAGCCGCGGCCCTGGAGGCCGTGAGAGGGTGAGGCTGAGGCGGTGTTGGGCAGCGGGCCTCACGCCTGTCCGCCCGTAGGCTGCCGAGCGCTACCTGTATTTCCCTAACTGGGCCATGGCACTCCTGATCACCCTCATCGTCGTGGCAACCCTGCCTATCCCGGTGGTGTTCGTCCTGCGGCACTTCCACCTGCTCTCGGACGGCTCCAACACCCTCTCTGTGTCCTACAAGAAGGGCCGCATGATGAAGGACATCTCCAACCTGGAAGAGAATGATGAGACCCGCTTCATCCTCAGCAAGGTGCCCAGCGAGGCGCCCTCCCCCATGCCCACTCACCGCTCCTACCTGGGGCCTGGCAGCACCTCGCCCCTGGAGCCCAGCGGCAACCCCAACGGACGCTATGGGAGCGGCTACCTCCTGGCCAGCACCCCTGAATCAGAACTGTGACCACTGCCCCCAGCCTGCCCGCCTCTCCCCACCACACCCAGCCACCCCGCTGCCCCGGCCTGGCCTCTCCTCCCAGGCCAGGCCCTCTGCCCAAGGACAGCAGCGTCTGTCCTGCCTCCTCTCCCACCCCAGTCCCAGACAACTTCTGCTCCCTAGACCTGAGTGGGGGCTCCAGACAGGCCCCCAAGCCATCTAACCCTCTGAGATCCTCTCACCAAATTGCAGCTGAGTAACTGGAACAATCCAGAAATTCTGATTCCCAGCCCACGGGAGACTCCCAGTGGCCACTTTAGGGGTCACCTTCCCTCTCTCCGTGTCACCTGCCACCTACAGTGCGGCCAGGTGGTGATTATGGTGAGATGCACTGGGGTGGGGGTGGGGCAGGGCGGGGTGTCCCAGAGGCTGCCTGATTTAAGGCTGAAGATGGGACACATGTCCTAGGGTTAGACTTGGGGTAGAGGGCTCAGACTTGGGGTAGAGTTCTGTTGTGTGAGGCGGATGGTGCCCTGGCAGCAGGGGGTGAGGGGGCTCCTCTGCCTCCAGCTCTATGTGGGATCCCCAATGTCCTTGGCCCTGCCTGGGTGGGTGGGGTGTGCTCCCGCATCCTGCTTGTGGGGCGGTGACTAGGCCCAAACCCTTCTCACCTCCATTAGGGCTTAGCGGGCTCCCTGTCCTCTCCCCTCCCACCCCCATCCTGGAGCCCAGAGTGGTGGCCTCTGCCTTTTCCTTGAGAAGTTTCCAGAGCACACACAATGGTCCACAGCACAATTCAGATGGTTTGGAGCACAAATGCTAAGCACCCCCTCTCTGCTCACGTGGGGCTCAGCATTCTCACTCGTGGCAGCTTCTCTCCTGAAATGGGTCCCTGGAGTTCAGGGGCTCACACACAGGAATTTCACACTGGGGAAAGCATATGATTTCGTTGCCCCTTTGGGCTGCCACCCCCCGCAACCCTGTTGTGTGAGCACAGCTCCCCAGTGTGCACGCCGTGCAGACACCTCAGAAACCTTCCCCTGGCCCGTGCTAGGGAGGGCCATGGGCAGTGCTGTGGACACTGCAGGTTGCCAACGGGAGAGGCCAGACCTCCATCCCGGGGCCCAGCCCCACGCATCCCCGCCTACACTTTCCTTCTGGCCTATCCTGGAAGATGGCCGCCATCAGGGTGCAGGCTGGGAGGATTGGAAGAACAGATGTCTGAGGAGTGGTGGATGCACCAGTGGAAGGATGGAAGGATGGAAGGATGGATGGAAGGATGGATGAAAGGATGGATGGGAAGAGGAAGGAAGGATAGAAGGAATGAAGGAAGGAAAGAGGGAGGACTGGCTGGGACAGCGAGCTTCCGTCTCTGAGAGCTGTGGTGGGCAGAGTGAGAACGGGCCACAGAGCTAGGCCTGAGCATCTTCCCAGAGGGTCCTGAGTCACGCTCGTGACTGACCGCCCTCAGCACAGGAACACCCAGGGTTCCCTCCCTCCTTGCCTGGGGATCCACCCGCCTACCCTGCCATCTCCCTTACTCGCCCCTCCTTCACACCCCCCATTTCTAGCCCTCTCAGCCCTCCCTGCCCTTTCTGAGTGTGTGAAGGGAAGGGAGACCCACACCTCCTCAGAGACATGAGCTTTTGGAACACGACACCCCGCCCTAGGCCCCCTCACCTGACAACACCTCCTACCTGGCCCGATGCCTAGTCCCAGCTGATTTAGCAACAGGAAAAGCAAGGCCCCAGGAGAGACACTCTACTATATATACTCTTCTATATATTCTATTTCTATTGTATATTCAATCTGTACATGTGGGTGTAAATGCTGTTAAATGACAAACCCAATATTATACTGTGGCTGGTGGACTATTTTCATCCTCAGTGCTGTACAGATCTATTTTCATTGTATATTTGATATATTTTTAATTTTGTAGCTTGTGGCTGGGCCAGGCCCCAGCCCTCCAGCCTGTGACAGGGGGCCGAGCTGTGCCGTCCACTTGGTCCCTGTGGGCTGGGGAGTGCTCCTAGCCTTTTGCTGTAAGCCAGGCCGTGTCTTGACTGTCTCTGCTGTTAGTCGTAGGGCCCAGAGCTTGGCGTGTGCGTGCGTGCGTGCGTGTGTGTGTGTGTGTGGCGTGGGCACATACGTGGGTGTGGGTGTGTGTAGGGTTCTTATCTGTGATTCCCAGTGTTTGCCACGTTACTGAAGACCACGCTGCCCTCCCTGCCGCTCCTGCTCTGTCGGGCCAGGCCTCAGGGCAGTGTCCTTCAGGAAGCCCCCTTGTTGTGGGGGACGGGCAGGCTTTTCTCGCTGGCGACTCACTGATTTCACACCACTGGGCTTGCCAGAGACAGGGAAGGGCAGGCCTTGGAGGGGAAAAGTCCCCAAATTTATTTTCCAACTTCTTGCTGTGCCCACTGGGAGTCACAAGCTCTTCATCCTGAGGACATTGTTGGGTTTCTTAAGATGGTGAGACCCCAGGAGAGCATCTCACGGTGCCTCTGTCCTGCGTTTGTCCTCGAGACAGTCCTGGCAGCGTTCAGAAGGGAACAGCTCCCCTCCCCTGTGTCTCCGACATACCCCTCTGCTCGCTCCTTCAAGCCAGGGAGCTGGGAGTGAGGTGAGGCTGGGGGAGGTCAAGAGCAGGTGGGGCATCTTTCAAGGCAAAATCCAGCCCCAGATTCCCTGGATCCCTGGAGGAGCAGGAGGCAGCCCCATGTCCCTGCTCAAGGTCCTCGCTCACACTGGCTTTGGTGCTGTCCACGCAGTGCCCACAGGACTCCAGGGCAGGGCACGGGCGTGCCCGAAAGAGGCCCCTGGTCCCTGCCTTCCAGCCCAATCACCAGCTTCTTGCTCAGGGAGCCATCTCCGCTGAGGCAGCATGAAGCCTGAGACCCAGATGGAGGTGGACAGGTGGGCCGCACAAGTTGATGCCAGCGAGACTGGCTTTGCCCTCCAGCAATAAATCTGTGGGGCCTGTTCCTTTCCTAGTGCCAGGAGAGGCCCTCCCAAGTCAGCTTGCCTTGGCTGCGAGGCTGGGGGCCGGAAGCTCCTTTGTTCCAGGCCCTGAGCAGGCCTGCAGTATTACAGGCAGGGGCTGCCCTTCTGCCCGCCCTCACAGCTGCACCCCCAACGGCCCCCAGAGTATGTCCCATGGCAGAGGAGAAAAGAAACTGAACAGATTAGGATGCACCTGACTCCCTGAGTGTCCACTAGGCCCTGAAACTGGGGCCTGCTGCCTCTTCACTGGGGCACTGCTTTGTATAGACCCAAGCACACACAGCAAGCCTCACTTTAGGTTCTGGCACAAGTTCAGAACAACTCAAGTCTGAGTGCCCCATGGCTGGCCAGAGCCCTGGGTCGGTCAAGACCACTCAGCCCAGGGGAGGAGACGAGGCCCTGTCACCCTGGAGCCCCTCCTTTCTCCTTCCCTCGTGGTGTACAATAAAGTGTCTGTTCTTGCCAGCCGCCTCTTGCCTTTCTGGCCTGCGTAGGATCAGGGGACGGGAGTTGTGGGTATGGCTGGCTGCTAGCAGAGGAGTTTGGGGAGGATGAGAAGGGCCATGTATTTATTTTCCTAGAAATCGTCCTGGGGGGTTAGCAATGCACACACTCGCAGCGGGCCTTACTGCGTGGCGAGCATTCCATGCCCCCAGCCTTGTGTGATCTGCCCGCTGGCTCTGTGGGGAAGACGCAGTCGACCCCAGAGCAACACAAGTTTGAACTACACAGTGCCACTCATGTGTGGATCTTTTCTAATAAACATAGAGCCAGCCCTCCGTATCCTTTCGCATCTTTGCATTCAACCGACCAGGGACTGAAGACAACATTTTCGACCCACGGTTGCGAGGGCTGACCCTGTGCCCTGTTCTACACTGTTTTATATGAGACCTGAGCGCACGTGGGTAATGACTTCAGGGGCAGAGGGAGGAGTCAGCGCCCCTGACCCCCGAGTCATTCAAGGGTCAGGTTCTTCCAAGTGAGGAAAACGAGGCTCCGTCTGATGTGAGGGTGGTGTTTGGTGGCCACTTATGGGGGGAAGTCCCCTCTGCCTTACTGCCAGGAAGAGCTACACCTATGAGCTCTGCAAGGGTGGGGTGCATGGAGGCCCATCTCAGGGAAGGGCTGGGGGCTGGGAAGGCCTGCGAGTGAGTAGGGTACAGCAGCAGACTTGAGGATTCACTGGGAGCAAGCCACGTTCTAAGTCCTTGGGGAGCAGCCTCTCTCTTCGAGGTAACTATCCCTTTTGCAAACTTTAGTAGAAGGTAAAGATGAAATATGGAATGTATCATTACCTATTTTCTCCAATTGGAATCTCAGTATTTATTAAGCACCTACTGAATGCTCGGCTCTGAAGAACGGATGGAGCTGGCGGCAGGGGAAGTGCTTCTTGCCTCGCTCTCAAGGAGCACAGACATCAGAAGAGGCAAGAAGTCTGGCTCCTGTGGGAGGCCCCATGCCCACTGCACGCCACTCCAACCTGGAGTGATGCTGTCTGATCTCTGACTCAAACAGCCAAGGCTCCCCAAGGAACCTTCTATTCCCTTCTCCTGCCAGAGAAGAAAGTGTCGTTCCAGAAACAGCCACGAGATGGCAGGAAAGCCCTTCCCTCCAGATCGTCACCCCCTCACCCTCCTCTCCCTTCACCACTTACTCCTTTGTCGGTTAGTTTATTTATTGAACAAACATTAATCACTCACGATGACAGGCTCTGTGCCAGCGATGGATACACAAAGATAAGTAAAATCGGCCCCCACTGTACTGAGTTTGGGGAAAGGAATACCACCCCCCACAACCCCTCAACTCCAAATCTCCTCATGCGTCTCCCCAGAATGTCTTGAAGCTGGAAACTCTTTGAAAATGCATTTAGTCCTGTGATTGAAGGTAACGTTTGGGGTTGAAATGGCAACTCTCCTGCCAGGACCCACTAAGAAGTAGTTTATCAAGGGCTTGTGTTCATGAGAGCTATGGAGTCAGACTTCTCAAGTTCAAGTTTAAATGTCAGCTAGGCCTCCTGAGAGACCTAGGACAAGTTATTTAATCCCTCTGAGCTTAAATTTCCTAGTCTGTAAAATAGGTGTAATGAATGGATTGAATGAGATAATGCGTATTGCTATGTATCAAGTTACCCCAAATCTTAGTGACTTAAAATAACCATTTTATTATATCTTGCGGTTTTTCTACGTGAGGAATTCAGGCAGGGCTTATCTGAGTGACTCTCCTAGGGGCAAGTGAGGTCACTCAGTGGCATTTGACTGGAAGATGAGCAGGTCTGGAAGGTCAAGGCAGCCTCATTCACCTTCATTCAAATGGCACCTCAGCGAGGATGGCTGGAAGGCCAGGCTCAGACTGTCACCAGAGGACTGTCTACTGGCCTTTCCAGTGTCGTTCATTTTGGGGTAGTTAGACTTCTTACACAATGGCTCAGGGTGCCCAGAGGGACTGTTTCAAGAGACAAGAGGTGGAAGCTGCCATTTCTTAAGGCCTAGGCCTGGAAAATGGGTTATAGCATTTGCCCAGGGTTAATGGGAGGGCATGGGGACCCCACCTGCTGGTGGGGAAGGGGACAAAGAATCTGTGGCTGCCCGTGTAATGAGCCTATTCCAAGGTGCTAAGAATCTTGTCATTGGACCCTGTGAGGGAACTTCTTCCTGAGGACACATCAGCTTAGAGACACAGAACTGGGTCCCAGAACGAGTATGTTCTGATGGGGAGGTGAGTGGCTGAGTCTGGGCCCTGGGTGGAGGGAGCAGACAGGGAGGAAGAGAAGGACATGCGGGAAGACAAGAGAGACAGTTTTTTTTTGTCTCCTGTTTGCCCAGGGCAGGTGGCATGAGGTAGATCTGAATCACAGCTCAGTCACCAACTGCATGACTTTGGGAAAGTCACTTAACCTTCACCCTCTGGAACTCTATTATCTAAGGGAAAAGAAGGATGACAAAATCTTTCCTGCAGAGGTAGTATGAGGAAAAAATGAACTTGTACTGAAATACCTAGAGAAATACAGGATAGAATTCTTTCCACATGGAATATAATAGGTGCTCATTAAATAGTAGCTTCCTCTTGCAACTGGAGTAAGTCCACGGGGCCTGCTTCATTCTGGGGACCCCCATCACCCATGCAATGAAACGTCTCCCAGAGCTATTCAGAAAGGACAGTTTTGGTCTAAAACTTAGCAAAGCCAAAGAAGGAGGTGAGAGAAGGCACCATTTCCAGGAAAGGATGTGTCGGAATGTGGGGGTCTCACCGATCCTGCACGCCATCCTGCTCCCCCAACAAGCAGCCACGACCAGCCAGAGAGCCTCAGCCAGCTCTAGCCAGAGGGCCTTGGGCCAGGGTTGAAGGATTCTAGACTGCAGGAATGTGGTGGTTTAAGAAAAATAGCCCCAAATTCTTTCACACTTCAAGGGAATGCAGTCTATGCTCCTCCCCTTGAATCTGGGTGAGCTGATGCCTCCTTCGACCAACAGAGTGTGGTAGAAGTGATGTTCTGTGATCTCTGAGGCATTTTAGGGGGACTGATTCTGGGGGAACTCAGCTGCCATGTTGGAAGCCCATCTGCCCTGAGGCTGCCTGTGCCAGAGAAGCCGTGTGTTTGCCGGTGCTTCGGTTGACGTTTTCATCTGAACGCTCAGCTTCAGCCAGCATCAACTGCCAGCCACGTGAGTGCCGCCATTGCGAACGTGCCATAACGAACGTTCAGCCCCGCTGAGTTTCAGTTGTCTGCGGCCCCAGCTGACATCTGACTACAGCCACGTGAGGGACCCTAAGCCAGAACTGTCCAACTGAGCCCTTCTTAACTTCCTGACCCATAAAATCATAAAATCATGAGCCAAATAAAATGTTTGTTGGATTTATACCACTGCATTGTGGGAGTAATTTGCTTCACAGAGATAGTAACCATGACCTGGCCCAACCTCCTCGTAGGACAGTTGGGGAAACTGAGGGCT